TACAGACAGACAGAGAAAGAGAGATGGGGGAAGAAAGCGAGAGAGAGGGGGAGTGTGTGAGAGAGAAAGGCTCCATCTGCAAGCAGCATTGCATGACTTCCTGGGTCTCCCACTGGAATGCGGCTGTACCCTTTGGTTATCGTCTTGAGCTAGGGCTTGGGACTCCTTTTGAGGCAAAAAGGAAGGCCCTTAATCCCTCTCCGCTGCACTTTCTTCAATTGATGGTAATACCAGCTCCACATGCTTACCTCCTTTTCCCTTTCCTCTCATTTTTTCATTAAAAGGTAACCAAGACGCTAATCCTCCCATTTTGCAAAAGGGGTAAGTTCGGTGGTGGCACAATGGAGTTTCAAAAGGGCAACAAAATCACATGCGGGCAACAAACTTGTGCGCCCAGTTCAAACTTCAACGAGCAACAAAATCATGTTTACCCGCACTACGAGTTTGAAAAGGGCAACAACCTCCCTCAGGCAGGCCACAGCCAATTTGACCATTTGTCCATCAGTCCATCAATCCTTTTGTTTGTTTGTCCATCTGTCCAGGCGAGCCACAGCCTGGACAGAGGGAGGGAGGGAGGGAGGGAGGGAGGGAGGGAAAAACAAATGGATAGACGAAATTGCGGACAGACAGACAGTTGGACAGATGGACAAACAAACAAAAGGATTGATGGACTGATGGATAGATGGACAAACAAACAAAAGCCTTAGGGCCGAGTATGAAAAGGGAAACAAAATAACAGGCGGGCCACAGCCAAGTTTACGGATATTTTTCGCCCTAAGGGCCTCGCCACACCAATGTCGAAAACTGCATTTTCGACGTTTTCTGCTCGCCACACAGCATGTCGAAATCCGAGATGCAAAAAAAAATCAGGAGCTGTCAGGGAAAGGGTTTCGACACCTCCTGTCGAGAAGGGCTCGTTTCCCAACCTGCAACTTGCACATTTTCAACAGTCCTCAGATGGGATGTCGAATTCTTGCCCGAATGTCGAAAAAGAGAGTGCACCAACGCTTTGTCTCTTTTGTGCACAGGAAAATTTCCTGTCATATGTCGAATTTCGTGATGTTTCGACATTGGTGTGGTGAGGCCCTAAGGGTTTTCAAACTCGGCAGCCAATTTTGTTGCCCCCACATGTTTTTTTTGCCCTTTTTGGGAACTGACAGTGTGTCACTGCTTGACTTGTTTCTTCTTACTAGGGGGAAGTTTGGACCATTTCTGGATGTATGTGTTTCATACTTTTGGCAATTTGAAGGGGCCATGCTAATCTTCTCTGCACGGATCCTTTTTTTTTTTTTTTTTTTTTTGGGTATTGTTCCAGCGGATATCCGAAAGGAGAGCAGCTTGTGCAGGTCCATCTCCATCATGTTCATTTTCATCACCTCCATCTTTATGGAGTCCACATTCATGTGGTGCCTTTTCGTGATAATACATTTTGTCCTTTTTTTTTCTACTGAGATCAGTGAGATGTTTGTTTTCGCTCCTTTGCCTGATCACCTTTTTCGCAATCTTAATCTTCTTACTCCTGACAGTGCGCGCATTTCATTATTTTCATATACTTTTTCTACTTTCCTATTCAGAATCTACCTTTCGCACCTGATGTACTGTCTCTGTCATTTTGGACAGGCATTCTGCAAACAAACCAGGGGACAAAAGGGCAGATGGACAAACAGACAGAGGGGTCGATGAACTGATGGACAGATCGCCAGATGGACGGACGCGCAGCGGCACTTATGGAAAAACAAACTAACAGACAGACAGATGTACTGGTGAACAAGCAAACACTTTTTTTCTTTTTTTCTTTTTTTCTTTTTTTTCTTTTTTGTAAAGCCCAGGGTGTTGTAGAGGCCAAGGACCAGACCCGCTGTGATTGCTGGTAGCGGCAGCCTATGGTTGTCCTACCCTACCCATCCCCTGGTGAACAAGCAAACGGATAGACAGACAGATGAACAGATGGGCAGTCGGACAAAGAAACAAATGGGCAGATGGAGTCTGATGGACTGATGGAGAGAGGGGCAAACAACAAACTAATAGACCAACATATGGACAAATCGACAACAAAACAACTGGACTGATAGCCAGCGAAGGGCAGCTGGGCAAGTGGACAATTGGATAGATGGGCTGATGGACAAACAAACTAGTACTAGAGACTCTGAGACAGATGGACAAACAAACAAATGGGCTGCGGGGTAGATGGTCAAATTGGCAGTCAGACAAATGTTGGCAAAATCATAAGACCCTAAGACTTATGAAGCCAGAACCCTAAACCCTAAACCTATAAACAATCCTACATTAACAGCAGGTTGGATTCCATGATAGAATACTTCTGTTCCAAAAAGAAAACAAAGTGGACAAGAAACACTCCAGAGAAAATAAAAAGGAAACATCCAGTAGAAATGGCATCTAAACAACTTTTTTGACCGACTGCTCACAGCGTACATGCAGCATACTCACTCAGAGCACTCACATTTTTTATAATACAGAAGGTACAAGTGACCAAACCATGAACTGCCGCTGCAGGATCCTCTCTCTCTCTCTCTCTCTCTCTCTCTCTCTCTCTCTCTCTCTC